CCCACCCCTAGACGCCCCACCCCACCCCCAGATCTCCCAGACACCCTCGTGCCCATCCACCCCACCCCACCCCCACCCCAAAGTTCCAACCTCCACTCCAGCCTTGCCCTCCCCCACTCACCCCCGAGCCCTCGGACAGGGACCCCGAGGTCTGGGACCGCTCCCGATGCACCGGGGACCTGCAAACACACCAGGAAGGGGATTACAAGAATGGGGCGCTCTGAGCATCCCTCCAGCAGTGCCATGGGGCCTCCCTTCTCTGCTCCCCTACGTGATGCGAGTTTCCTCCAGCAGTGCTCTGGGGACACATCAAGAATGACCCCCCCACACACACTTCTCTGAAGTTTGGTGCTACGTTGTGGGGAACTGTAATTCCCCTGGCTGCCCCGGATATAGTGAGCCTGGGGCGACACAAAAGTGGATGAGTTATTCTGGGCTGTGGTTGGCGCCCATGGGAAAGGAGCCAGGACTCCTGGGTTCTCTCCCCGGCTCTGGGAGGGGAGTGGGGGCTGGTGGTTAGAGCAGGGGGGCTGGGAGCCAGGACTCCTGGGTTCTCTCCCCATCTCGGGGAGGGGAGTGGGGTCTCCTGAGTTACAGGAGAAGTCAGTTCCCCTTTTCTGTGCCTCTGTTTCCCCTGGGGGGGACAATCCAGAATCCTCTGCTCTACGCAGCATCAGGCCCTGTCTTTGTGGGGTGAGGAGGGTGCAGGATTTGGTAGATTTCCCCCTCCCCACGGTGCCCCTCTTACCATGACTCCTGCTCCGCCGGCCCCTCCTCATCCATGGTCGCTCAGCGCATCCCTGGGCTCCCCCCTGCACCTGCCGCCTGCTCCCCTCGGCCCCCCAGGGCGCGGGTGGCTCGGCACCAAGTCCCAGAAGCTGAGCGGCGCTTCCGCCCCTGTGGTTTCCTGCGCTGGGGGAGGCGGGGGGGCTAGTTCCTGTGTTTGTAGTGATAGCACCAAGGGTGCTGGCCCCACACTGCTCTGCCCAACGGCACCTCCCAATACCAGGGGAGAGCGCCCCCTGCCCCGCCCCGCTCCCTGCCCCACGGTGCCCCCACAGCGCCCGGCCCTGCCTGCCAGGGGAGAGCGCCCCCTGCCCAGCCCCCTCACCCCGGCTTCCTTCTGCAGCTTGGGCAGGAGACAGCCGCCTCCGTGATGCTCAACCACTTCCTTTCACCTGCCACTCCCCTCCAGGCAGGTCAGCCACAGACACGAAACTGACTACAGATGCCGGTTCTCTGCAGCAGCGCCCACCGCCTGCACAAAGACGGTTTGCCTGGCGCTGAGATGCAGCCAGCTCTGGGGCGAGGCAGCTGGGAAACAGCCACACATAACGCTGCCCAAGGTCTGCCATGCGGACTCCAGCCAGGCCAGGGGCCAGGAGAGAACTTATTTTCCTTATAATGTTTCCGGCTCCTAGAAATTTATTACAACAGCCAGTAAAAAAACGAGGCTACGAAAAGTAACAGGGCTCCAGAGCGGGGGGGAGGGGGGGCCTGGCAGAAGGGTGATGGGTGTTAAAGGAAGAAGAAGGGGGGTGCTGCCACCTGTGTGCGCCGTCGGTCCATGGGCCCCCCCCCATCTCCACAGCAACCCCTCTGGGTGGGGTCCCTTTGCCCCATGCTTCCTCCTTCCCAAACCACTGCCCCATGGCCCACCCTTCCCCACTCTGCAACCCCCTCCATTGCACCAGGCCCACCACTAGCCCCCCACTCCCCTCCCAGAGCCAGGGAGAGAACCCAGGAGTCCTGGCTCCCAGCCCCCCCCCCGCGC